CATGCCTTCAGCAAACGTGGCTTCGCCTGCCGCCTCCACCTGAGAGGACAGGAATCAGTGGCCGCCGCTGCCCAGGAGAGGGCCCTTGTGCCATACAGGCCCCGCTGTCCTTCATGAAGAAATGACCCGGCGAATGGCCCACGGGCCGAGACTGCTCTGTCACCACAGGCCCTTCAGCATTTGCAGGTAAAAGATGACTACACCCCAAGTACTTCACCCGTGAACGAGTGAGCGAACGATGCTCCTGCCGTTCGAAGACACGCAGCAGAGAAATGCTCTGCATTCCAACTTCACCCATCCAAAGGATGTGGAGCCGTATCCCAGAAAAGTAGGGTTGATACCACGTGGGTGTCAGACTTCTGTCAGAGCTGCATCTTTGCCACTGCTGAAGTGAAGGGTTTCACTTTGGCAACAGGATCATTCCTTTAGGAATGATACTAATTATAGAACACATTCACTGAGATCCAGGAAAAACAGACTGGTTTTACTCAATTCTTTAATAGTGGGGATGAATCCTTTTCATACTGTTTTACACCACTGCCTTAAAGGAAAAATATTCCTTTAACACCAGGGCATGGACTTCTTTCTTCTTTACCCTCTTGACAGAAAGCTTACATCATGACATGAACCCTATAAGGTTTGCCTAACAACAAATAGCGTATTGCACTGCTTGTAAAAGAGGCACAAGAAAAAACACATGGGAATTTGTCAAGTATACGCACCAACGAGTATCCCGGTAATTATACTCAATGAAAGTGTGAACGCCCTTAAGCTTCCCCAGGCCTTTCTCATTGAGAGGTGAACATTGTACCTGCTTGGCTGAAATACGGAACTTTCTGCCTGCGGTCGTAGCTGCAGTTGCAGACCCCTCTGTCAACAGTTCATGGCAAAAAAAGCCCATTTTAGAGGCGTGTCATCCTCACCTAATTCTACCCAGCACACTACATAATGCAAAGGTCAGAAAACATGTTTTGTTGAATATTTGTTGAGAAAAGTTCTTATGGCTGTAAGACATTACACTTTTTCCCTTTCAGAAGGGCTGTGGTTTTTGGTGTGCCAGATGCTGGCTGGCATCAGCTGAGGGAAGCTACCAGTGCTGACACCTGAAAGGAAAAGAGCTTGCCGTGGTTCAGGTATCAGCATCAGCAGTTTCGCTCCTGTAGGAGAAGGAAGACAGACTCATGTGGTACCAAAGCAGCCAGTGGCTGGTGAAACCACTGGAGAGGGATGCCAGCTGGGAGACTACAGAGGACAAGCTATTTATTTGGATTTAAACTTTCAGAACAGAATTAAGGACAGATGAATACATACCTCTGAAGGTCTTTGCACAGACTTCTGAGTGTGCTGCTTCTCCTACAGAGCTCACAGCCTAGGATGGAGCAAGACTTTCCCTGCAATTACACCTCTCATTGCCAGTACAAACCAATGACACAAATTCCAGAGAGCTTGGTCGCTAGCAGGTACATGCAGTGGATGCAGCACTCCAGCTAAACACAGCGAGCTTCTTAAAAGCTTAAAGGTGGCACAGATGAGCAAAACAGACATTTATTATAACTGCTCAAAAATTAATGAGTTACATCCTTGCCCTCTTCTGACTGATGGAAGAATAATGCAAGAATCTAATAAATTAACCAGAAAACAAAAAAACCCACCGGCCTTTGCAAGGCTTCCAAAGCAGAAAGCTGACAAAAACCATACAGACATCTCACATGGCTGACTTCAATCCTTTATGTTGACAGTCCATTTATTCCTTTTTCCATTGCCACAGAATTTACACACGTACAGCTTACTCAGCAGCAAATCTCTTGGGTGCATTGAATGAGCAGATGCCTGCAGGTTTGCTCTCCTTGGCATGACATACATCATAAGTTACATTTAAATTTAGAATTGGCAAGTACAAATCCTATGGCTCAGTTTCAAACACTCTACGATGTAAAACCAAACAACTTGGCACCAAGTTTAAAAATACATGCAGCATATCTAGGAACTAATACTGTATGCACTCAACAACTTGAAGACATCTGTACCATTTATGATTATAAATTGATCAGCCTAGGTGTTACCACTGTATCAGCTTACCTAAAAAGCGAGTCAGAGTGCCCTGTAAAGTGGAACTTCGGACAGCAGCAAATTATTAAAACACATAAGGAACTCACAACTTGAAAGCAGTTTATTTGCATTTATTTTTTTGATTGTTCAAGCGTGAAGGTGTTACTCCATGCTATTATTGATGGGAATGCAAAATGCGTATGTGGTTTCAAATAGGTAGGAGACTAGGAAGAACAAAAGAAAAAGCATACTACGCCTAGGAAGCTGGCTGATAAGGAGAAACTCCTGTCTTGAGAGTATTTTGCCCAGTCTTCCTCTGTTGGAAGGTGTCTTTCATGAAGGATCCTCACAGGAATGAGGCTTAAGAGTAAGTGAATAAGTGTGTATATATAGAAACGGAATATTGTGCTAAGCACCTTCCTTCTTCCTCAGATTAACAAGGCAAAAAACCTCAATCCGCATGCATTTTTTACGCTCTATTTATTTTAAAAGGTAAAAGGTTCAGCAAGGTTGATTTGAGGGAGTTCTCAGCATGAACAAACGTTTCACAAGTTCTAGAGCTATGAAACTATTTCATAACATCACATACCAATAGATTAAACTACTTCTGGTCAGTTATATTATAGCTATATATTTTAAGTGGCAATTGTGTGAATAACAAGCATTCCGCTGCTTTTAGCTGGATAAATGCACTTGATGTTACGAGATACTACACATTCTCCAAAGCCTACAGTACAGATATAGAAATGGCCTGTTTTGGGAAGGAACAGTAGGTAAGTCAAATGAATTAAAAAGAGCATAATACTGTTTTAAATCTCCATTGACTTCTGTAGAATACCGGAACTTAGGTACACAAAATGCCCTTCTAAAAAGATGTATTCAGAAAGTGATACTTCGGCTTACTATTACTCCCTAACTCTACACAGAAGAGAGGCAGCTGGCGACTGAGACACTGACATCTAGTGGCTGCCATGCAAGATCTAACATTTACAGATACTGCTTAGGGTAAAAACGCTACTAATATACATCACTCATGGGGCATTTGTAACTTGCCTGCTATAGTCTTATTAACAGAACATTTGGTTTTTTGCCTTTTTTTTTTTTTTTTTTTCAAATTTGTCCTAACCCTGCTTTTTAAACATCATGCACAACTGAAATTCTTTCAAGTGGAAGAATGAAGGTAATCTTTCTGTAGGCAACACGTACATTTGTTCTTGCAGGCTGCATTGACATGAATGAAAGCTGACTCCTTATGTAAAACTCTAAATATTAGAGTTTAAGAAGAATATTGTAAGCTTTTATACCCTCACAACCACAAAATAGAATAGTATGCTGTCTTGCAATACTTAAATGAACTGATGTATTCCAAACAGATATAAATTATACAACTTAATGCATTATTTTCTCAAAAATTCTTGCATCTATTCAGCTCTGATTACAGAAAATATATTGATCATAGCTGTACATACTCTTTAGCGACTCTTTGTTTTAACAAACTTTTACAGTGGCTATGACAAACTCATTTTGATGAGGTAGCATTTAAAAGAGCCCTGTGTGAAGACGGGTTGAATAGTTCTGGTAAAACTTTTTTGTGCTTAGGCATTGGAAGACGCTGTTGAGAAAGAGGAGACTGACCTCTGTACACTTTATAATCGATAGCTGGTGAAAGGGGAGAAACAAATGACTGAAAAAATTCAGATTTGGTGAAAACGTTCAATTCCATTAGCCTTGAGATCAACGATACTGCATTAATTTACTCTTTTTTTTCTCCCTTGAATAAGTGTTACCGAATGCACAATACATCCAGAGGCATGAATGCTTTTCATCATTAATGTAAAGTCTCCTTGCCCCTAACTACTTCTCCGAAGTGGAAGCCAACTAGTTAAGTCTTTGGGGTTATTCCCATTTATGTTCTGTGAGAAGTGCCAGGAATTGCATTTATAACTATGTTGCATTTAGCTAGAATTTATGATATGTTTCAGGCTACAAATAAAACTAAAAGTTATATTCCACCAGTTCATTATTTAAAATAATAAAACACATAACTGAAGACTAACTGAATTATGATAATTGAACACGAATTATAAAAGCATCTTTGGTTGTTTAATGTCTACTTTAAAATGGTTAATAAAAAAAGCTGGAGTTGCAACATAGCATAGAGCAGCAGCCCTTCCTCAGCAATGCTACTGTTACATGTCCAAGCACTTCAAGAAGAATAAGGAGAAAGTTAATCTCACTGGGAGAAAACAAAAGGCTGGATGTAATCAATCTATACATCTAGGACTTAAAAATACAAATTTAAAATTTTGGCAACAAGTAAAAAAAGCATAAGGTTTTTTTTTTGTTTTGTTACAATTCTATATTAGGACAGATCCACGGAACTAACTTTTATAAAAATACAACATACTGCGTAAGTCTTATTTAGGGATTTAATTTATATACCACAAATACTGCTTTTAATATAAGTACAATATAATACAGTTTTATTTATGTAACTGCTGGTGTTCACTTTGGATCATGAACTGAATTGCATGCTGTGCTGTCAAAACTGTAATAAAATGGCCTCTAGTTAAACTTCTCCAAAGTATAAAATCATGCAAAAATCTACATCCTATATGATACAACATATTATGGTACAATAATTGAAGCCAATAGCCTACAAACAGCCTGGACTATCTTCGGAGTTTGTTCTTGAAGTGTACACAAGTCAGCCATTATTTTCTTTAGGCAGAAAGGAAGAATTTCAGTTTTGTCTGCAGAATGCCATCATGACCACTGAAACCAGCAACAATGTGCACAGTTATCAGTCAAGAAATCTTCATTACCTAATGCAGTTCAGAGCACACGTTTAGTCCATACTGACAAGTCTGGGGTTAGGAAGTTTTACGTTTTCCTCCTGTAACTACTGGTCGTGCATATTCCACAAAATCATCTATAAGAACAGGCCACGCTCCTAAAGAGAAGTCAAGCAATTCAGAAATTAATGTATCATTATTAGCAACAAATTGGCCTAGTCTCTAAATACAAAGGATCAGAAGCTCACTTGGACATTTCTAGCCTAGCCTGGCTTTGACATGCATGACATGATAAACACTTGAAAAAAAAGCACCTAACTAATAAATTAAACACTTGAATCTCTTCTTGCAGCAAAAGTTCTTAGTACAAACAAAATGTATCTAAAGCATAACCCACACTACAAAGTTATAAACATTAGTTGATAGCAAAGCCATGGCATTCCTATTAGACACATTCATACCTTAGGAAATATTTCTGTATACAGTTGTTCCAAAATAGGATTTGCAGGATTAGTAACAGAGTGTAATTGCTTTTAGGTTACTAAAAAAATTGCTCATGTAGACATTCTTTTAAGAAGAAAAATGATGTATTTCCTTGCAGTTAGCAGCACTTTTGTACAAAAAATAGTTTCACTGAGACTCCTGGAGCATAACAGGTTCAAATAGCATGTGCTATATCATGGTGTGACAGTATCTTTACTTCTATTTACATATTACAGCAAACTAGTTAACCTTCTTAGCATTACTGTTTCGGCAACAAGTATGACACTATATTTGCAGCTAAACCTCTAAGGGTAAACAAATTAAGACAGAGGGTAGCAGCATGTTCTGTTGTTCATTTATAGCAGTATTTTAATTCTGCTATACCAATTTTTAAAGATATTCAAATACAGCTTACCTTCTTCATCATAGTTGGACATATCATCTGCAATCATATTTCCAAAGTCTAACAAAAGATTCCAAGTATCTTTTGGAATTGATCTTTTATGATGTTCCTATAAAGGAGGAAAAATGGTCATTCAATCCAAACTGTTTTCAAATTCCACAGTAGGATTTTACGCTCCAAAAAACTCCCAAGAAGAGAGAGTGTGTGAGGAAACAACTACTTAGCAGTTGTGAGCTGTAGGATCAAGTCAGACCATTCACATCTCCCTTCATCTGTTGATACTGCTATGTTACCTGAAGATAGCAGGGGTGATTAATAGGGAATTAAATTTCAACACCTAGTTCTGGTTTGTAGCAAAAAGTTGCAACTGCATGAAAAGACTTGATTGGTGAAAGGTTGGGGTTTTTTGTGTTGTGGGGTGGGGTTTTTTTGTTTGGTTGGTGTTTTTTTAAGCAGTAATACTCTAGATTATTGAGAATAACAAACTGCATTTCAAAAATCTGGAACTCAATCAGAATGAGGTTGATGTCCAACACAACAGCAAACATGCCTCTCACTCAAACCAAATGTTGTATCTTGACTGCAAAAAATACGACAAGCAAACATACCTTCTGGATAACGTTCCTTAAAACAAACAAAACACAAACAAAAGCAGCCCCCATCCTAAAGAAGTCCTAAATTGCTTCTTAGGTTGATTTTTTTTTAATCTAAACATTTATTCTAAAGTAAACATTCAGGTTAAATATCTGTAGCAAAGTAAGACACTATACCAGATCATCTAGATTATTGCTTGAAGTAGAGATCTGCAGAACTGTTGGTTGTAACAAACTTCACCACAGAGCCAAGTGGGAAAAAAACATTAGGACTTTTCTTCAGTTCCATCTATAGATCTGAATTTGGATGTGTTAAGTGTATTAAGGCAGTTAAAATGTGAAATGTTTTCACAAGTTCTCTTGATGAAACCGGTACATTATTCAGTGATTAAAATAAATACCACTGTCCAAAAATTTAGAAAAAATTTCAGAAAATATTGCAAAAAGTATGCACTTTCCCTATTAAGCATTGGTGATTATGAGACAAAATGCAGAAAGCCTTCTTAATTCTGAACTACAGATAAAAAGTTAAATTGGAAAAAAATCAAGATAAATTATGCATTATGTAACACTATATAAGGTTTTTTTTTCAAGTACATAAAAATGCAAATGTAGAAACACGGATGAATGAATCAGGTCTTTAATAAGAATATTTTGTGATTTCTAAAGTTTAATTTATGCATCTTTACTCCACTGCCCACAGAATTGCACTAAGTAATAGAAAACTGTCAAGATCAGTTCACAACTATTATCTAAAAAATGAGTCAAAATAATTACTCTGACAAGAACTTTTGCTTAAAAAGAAAAGTGTCTCAGGTTAAGTCAGTCATAACAGAATTGACATTTAAAAAAGACTGAGTTTATGCATTAATACCACAAAAAGCAGGGCACAGTAAAATACATGGTTGACACAGCTGTCTTGAGAATAGAGACAACATAGGTTCAATCTACAATCATGGCTTCATTTCATGCAGAAGCTTACATAAGTAGGAGGATACAGGATCAAGGAAGCAGAATGCTCTATTGCTTTGCTACATGTTTTTGAATTCTTCTCAATTAGAAAATTATATAAAGAATATTTAATTTGGCTTGATATAAGTCTATTTTGTATCAGTTTTCAAAAAGAAAGAAGTTCAAAGGAAGTATTCAGACATCCCATCTTTTTCTTTATTGTAAACACACAGCCTACAAGCCAGACTACTGCGGACTAAGATAGTCAGGAAGGACTACGGTATGTACTCACCAACAAAAATTTATTCCAGAGATCTAGAAATTTAAACCTTCCTGACAAGACTAAATTCCAATACGCAATTGCCATTTCTAGATCTGCAAGAGACAAAGCAAGACGTAAATATTACAGCACCTTATATGCAATAAAACTCTTATGGTTAAACAATTAATATATTATGATACAAATTAGTAACATTCTTTTAAAATCACTATAAAAGTTATAAGGAACAGTTATCCACTCTCACTGACCCAAAAGGCAGAAGACAAGCAGTAATGGTATAAATTGCATATTGAACATTGCAGTCAAAGACTAAAATCTTTTTGTCACCGTCCAGCAGGGCCAGATTAAAGCTACTTTCAATCTACAGAAACAGAACAAAATAGTTATCAATAACTCTGTCTACAAAAAAGCAAACAAAAAACCACCACGCACAAACACAGCAAATATTGATAGAAACCCAAACATGTAAGTCCGCAGGTGCCAATTCCTGTTAGTTTATTGCATTTTAGACACACTTGACTTCAAAGGGAATTTAAGGACACGAGGGGATAAAAAAAAAGCTTTGTCTGGGGCATGGTAATTCTACAGCACCCCTTACAGCAGTAATTCTCTTCTTCTGGAATCATTTAGCAGACAAACACCCTCACCCAATACTGAAAACCTAAGTCCAAGACAGCAGTCCTTATTCTGCCCATGACCATTGATCTGAGAGCAGAGCTCAGCTCACGCATGCCAACAGGAGGATGCGGCGCTGCCACACATCCAAGCAGAAAAGTAGGAACAATATTAAATGCAGCATAAGGGTAGAAAGGATGTTTTCTTGAAGGACTGTTTTAATTCTCAGCAACTCACAATACCTATTGGCTTGTGTGCTTGGTCGCACAGGTAAGAGCACTAAATGTATGCATACTGCTGTGCAACCACAAAATAAACCACAGCCTTTCTTAAACTACAAGAAGATTTCAGTTTGTGCTTTCAGTGTAAAATAAATATAAACAAAATATGAAACTTAATAGAAAGTATTGTCACAGCAGATAAGATGGAAGCTTGACCTCCACCTACAAGAAAGGAGAATAGTATTTGAAATGGTACGTATCGCATTACAAACCAAAGGACGCTCTGTCACCCGAAATCAAGTTTCAAGTCTGAAAGAGATGTTCCGGATTTTAACATAGCCAGTTCCCTCGTGTCTGTATCACAGAGGGCTGGAGCCCAGACAAAGTGTGATAGTTAGAGATGTAGAGAAATGCAGTACTTCCGTACCTAGCTATATGGAGACAGGACTGCCAGGGTTTGGTCTACTATGATCAGTGTGCTTTTCAGTACAGAGCATGCTTTATGCCCTAATAAAATTCTTTCAGTCCTTCTTGTCTTTGCCACCATGCTCACTTTTCACAGAAAATAAGCAGAAGAGAATAGTTAATAGCATTTACTTGCTGTTTAGATATGCAGATTAATTATTCATATCTGTTATCCCAAATGAAAAGGAAAAGAAATGGGAAGGGAGAAACTTGAATAATCGTAAGGGTTTCTAAACTTTGTGGTGAAGCGACTGGCTTTGATCCCATTCACTCAGGCTTCATTATGAAGACTCAACCTTTCCAAGCCAACCTTGCAAATCTATCACGTGACAACATTAAGCAAAATGCACTTTGAAGAAAAAAATGCTTTAAGAGCAGAAGAGTTTTTATACTTCTGATGAAATATTCCCTGGAAAAAGGAAGAAAGTACAGGCAAGGAAACAAATATGGTTACAGGTGCCACAAAAAAAGTTAAAAGGGAAAGAAGAGGCCACACTTCCTTGGTTTATTTGGGTATGTGTCAAATTTGGTATTATGTTAAGGTGAACTTGATTATTGCAAAATTGTATTTAACACAATGCATGTGAAATATTATCTTAATTAAGTTGATACTTGAGGGATACATTACATGTGTGTGCAAATCGATTCTCCTGCACAAAGATACAGGAGTTATTTGCTATAATGTACAACAAAAGCATATCCTGCTGAGGATGCCGCTCTGTAGGGGCTGAAATCAGTCCACGCTGGAGCTGCTCTCCCCATTAAGCATGAAGGGAAGTCCCGATCTCGGTTAAAATTAGCTCAAAGACAAAAAAATAAAAAAGTAAATCTTCCTCATCTGGTTTACTGCAATCACACAAACTCATGAACTAACACGAGATATTTGAACAAAAGGACTAGATGGGACTATGACTTTTGGTAGTGGTGCCAGTTTATGCAATCTTAAAGTATTTGAGAAAACGAGACCTTCAAGTGTGCCACATTCTCAGGGGATATGGCTACATTTTTGTTTGAAGACAGTTCCTGACCTAGGTTGAAAAACTTAGCACCGGAGGACAGAAAAAAGGATTTTTCTGCTTTAAAGGGAAGACCTAGTTACACAGAGTTCCAGTTCTACATTAGGATGCTGATAGTAGTATCAATAAACAGTAGTATTGTAGAATTTGTGTATCTGCTACAATTAGTGCAGCACTAAAAGATATTAAAAAAAGTCTTATGCCATGGGAGTTCTGCATCCCCACAGGAAGATGCTTTTGCAAGGCATGGATTTCTCAGGCAGTCTTAGGAATACTTATTTCAATGCTGCACGGATATGAAGGCATCATTACAAATAAAATAAAATCAAACTACAATTACAAAGATTACAAAAATATGCTGGTTTTGTACCAAAAAATATACTTCCCACATTATAGACTAATAATGCAAGTTTTATAAACGGAAAAGACAGACAGATGCATGAATCTCTGGAAACTAACGCCTAAGCAAAGACCAGTTTAGAAGAGACTTCATTGCAAACAACCACGTTCATATCCAAAACATGAAATCGCTAAACAGTTAATGTTTAAAGAACATCATAAAAATACCACATCATATACTGTACATTATACCACGGTTTGAGCTTTCCCTTCACCCCAAAATATTCTCAGTGTCAATATCTAGCAAGTGTTGTATGTCATACAGCTCCTTCAGTATATTGGCTTTATAGTCCAAAGTTTTTGCATGCGCCAAAACAAAGCTTCAATATCTAGATAATCAGTGTTCTAGATATCTAGTCTAGTTGTGGCTACATACAGCATCTATAAAGTTTTCTGTAGTAAAACGTTAAGAACTGAGTCACCTAAAAGTGATACCAATTACCACTGCAAAATTAGTAAAACTAAAATTACTAAAAAAAAAAATATATACAATATCTAAGTAAAACAACTTCAAGGAGGAAAATATCAGTAAAATAATGTTTTGAGTATTTTAAACACTATTTTGCTAAATATCATTTATTATAGTAAACATGTTTTAGTATATTTTAAAAGTTCTTTACTTTTGAATTATTTAAACAATCAGCTTTTCACAAAGCAAAGCATTGTGCATGCAGTATGATCTATTCTGAAACATTAAAGCCTCATACTAAAACTGTTTTTAAAAAACCCTCAGCCTCTTCTACCCTGATTGAACAAGAAGCTTGAAGTGATAACAAATTAGAACAATTAATGCAGAAGGAGAAATACGTTATCAGTTAGACAGCCTCTGTCTACTTTCAAGATTTGATCAAATGCTTATCTTGTTAACAAAAAAAAAATCATTATCAGATTCTTGCATGAATAAAAAAATTACAAAATCAAATTAAGTTCCTCATCCCTTTGCTATGATTTTGGACAAGGGCAATGAAGTCATGGCACACAAATAATCAAGGAAGTAAGAAAACAAAGATAAATCAACAGATAGCAGGGAACTGGCTGGAGAGTAGGGTTCATGAGGAACATGAAATGAAGTTCATTTAGACCTGCTGTGCCAAAACAGCAGTCTGGGACTGCAGCACTCACTTGTCATCCTCTGCCAAAAAGAGCTTTCCAGCGCTCAGACTGCCCTACCAGCAGAGCTGTTCATGCAGTCATGTTTGAAGCTGTCAGAATATTAAAACTAATTCACCTAAATTACTGATATAACTTAAAAGAAAAAAAGGCTAAAGGCATTACATTGGCCTCCTAATGACATTTTAAAAACTTTAAGTTATTTATAAGAACATTTTAATATTAGCCACTGTTGCCCTCATAATAACTAGGGATTACATTATGATGGTAGAGTCTATCATGTTTCAGAGCTTGGAAACAAATAATTTATTTTAATTTCATCTTTTGAGATTAACTGATTGTCCCAGTATTGCCTTTTTCTTCCTTTATTGATGTTTAATCTTCTTATCAATATTGTAAAGCTTTGCTACTTTATATGTCACCTCTATGAGAGACTTTGGGCAGGTTGTTATAAGCATCAGTGCTCACTTAAAAAGTACTCTCTCAAACTACATGGGCAGCATTTTTTTTTTCCAAAATAACAGGATGCATCAGCCTTACCCAGTCCATCTACAGATACAAACCAACAAATTAGTAAACAATGTAACAAAGCTTGTAGGAGGAAAAAGCTACTGTTATTAGACCAGTTAATAATGGGGGGGGAGAATATTTTGGAAATGAAAATTTCAGAGCCAAGAGCCTTTGTTTGAGGCTTTCTCTCCCCAATGCTTTAACCAAACCTTCCTCTATAGCTTTGGAAACAAAAGAGAAGGCAAACTCTCCTGTTCCCAACACTGCATAAAAAATTAATCTGGACAGGTACAGGACAGAAATCTATTTTATCATTCAATCGCCTTGTAAAAATATCTGTAGCCTCTGTAAGAGACGGAACTTCAGATGTTTTCTTTATAGTCATATAATCTGCCCTGAAGTATCATTTGGTTGATATTCTTTGATCTCTTCCTTCTTGTTTTCTCACTGTGATCACAGGCAAATATCATACTTCTGTAAGGCTAAAACAAAAGCTACATTGCACAAAATTATTTTGTTTCAATAAGATTCCCAGACACTGTGCTGAAACTGGTGCAGATGTGGGAACAGTGGAAACTGGCGTCAATCTATCTCAACAATTGGACCATCACGCTACCTGACCAACAAACATCAAATGAATACTTGCAAGATTCAGCGAGTTACTTGATTCCTTGTTGCCTCATCTCTGAATGATTTTAAGAGTCTTCTTCGGCCTCCAAATTACTAAGAACATGGACACAAGAATTAGTTTCTTTCCTA